CTAGGTTGGCCTCAAACTCATAGCAATCCTCCTGCTTCAGGCTCCCCAGTGCTGGGATTACAAGCATGTGCCCAGCGTTCCAATCATTTTTGCCACTTTCTAAAGCAGTTCTAGAAGTCCTCATTATTGTCTTTAGTTGCGATGTTGTGGTTGTCTTAATGTCATGAACAGATTCAAAATGTTTACTTCTCGTAGTCACCTTGACTTTGGGTAAGATCCAGAAGTTCATAGTGCTAGATGTCATTAGTAAGGTGACTGAAGATGGCCTGTAAAATGTTCTGCCTTTTCATCAAATGGCACTCAGCAGCAGCATTTGCTGTATTTTTTTATCACATCTTTAAAGATACTCACAGCAGAGGACTTCCAGAACTGCTTCTGAAAATGGTAAGAATGAAGGGATGTGTGTTTATTCTGAGAGGATTGATGGCAATGTGTCTGTTACTGTAATAAAAATTTTAAATTTTAACATTCATGATGCATTTAAATCACACCCCATATGTCCTGTAAACGTTCCTTTATTGAAGATTTGTTGAATGTTCTCAGGTTATATATATCTCAAAGTGTATTTATTGTTCTCATTATAACAGTATAACAGAACAGAGTTCCACTGTTATATCATGAAGGTTGATGCTTGCTATTTCCTTACTGTCTTCTAACTCCCATTATTTCAATTGAGAGTTCTGGTGTCTGTCTATCTGTAGTTTCTTTATAAATCATTTGCCTTCTCTCTGGCAGCTTTTAAGATGTTTTTGTTTATGGAGTTCTACATTTCCATTATAAATATACATAGGTATATACCATATTACCCCCAAGATAAGACTGAACTGGAAAATAAGCCCTAGTTTTCTTTTTCAGGATGCTCATAACATAAGCTCTATCCCAAAAATAAACTCCAGTTAAGATCAGACACTGTTAGTGCATCCATTGGAACACACAACAGACAACAGATATAATAAATTATAAAATAATACTAATACTTAGTCAAATATAAATGAAATTATGGACATTAATACTTAAAATATTGATAATATGAATAATAAGTATGTGTAAATACTCAAGTGGACACCTTTAGATGAAAGCAAACATCTGTGTAAACAGATGAATTTGAGGTTTATTGCCAGTGATCAATTGGAGTACAGACACAATGCATGAATAACATACATACTTGATAATGAACGGGCATGGTTATGTCTAATATGAATCTTCATAATTCAATGTTACATATTGTCAAGATGTCTACATTGTCAAGCAGTCTACATGGACTTGAAGTGCTCATTTAAGGAGAGTTCTATTGTTTGACATGAAAGATTGGGGCCAGTAGTTCTATAGGAAATGAAGTCACAGGAAATTCAGGCCAAAATTTGGGGTTTGGAGAGTTATAGTGATGTTCCAGAAGATGACATGACTGATTTGAATAAATGTAGATTTTTGTACATGAATAAATATAGATTGTTATACATTAATAAATAGAGATTGTTGTACATGAAAAATGAGATATCTCTTTGAAAATAAGCCATATTATATCTTTTGGAGAAAAAATATAAGACCTGGTCTTATTTTAGGGGAAATATGGTATGCCTTTTCACTTGCCCTACTTGACATATATTGTTCCTCTCAGATCTGTTGATTAATATTATTTATCAGGTCTGGATATTCTTAGCTATTAACTTAATTCCTTGAGTAGACATGTTAGACATTTTTATGTTCCAGAATACTTATCCTCTCTATATTTTTAAACTTTTTTTGTCTGGGGAACATTCTGTATAATATCTCACTTATGCATCATTTAATGTACTTTTAGTTCAGTAATTCTTCAATTGTGTGAAGTTATTTAACTTCAATAATTAAATATTTTCATTTCTAAA